CAAGAACAATAATAATATGTATAATAACAATAATAATAGGAAGTATAATGATAATGAAATCAATACTGATAAATAGTAGAAGTAAAAACAATAATAATAATAAACAAATTATGAAAACAACCATAATAATAAAAATAAAATAATTAATAATAACAATAATATCAATATTATTAATAATAATATTAATAACAATAAAAAGAATAATAAATATAACAACAACTATACAGGTCATATACAACAGTTTTCAGCATTTTTTATATCTTTTTAAGATAACATTCATGCTACTTTCAATCCCTGTTGTCATTGTGATTTTCATACAACACATAAATCCTACATACAAACATACTTCCAACTTAAGTGATTTGATCAACTTCATATCAAATAGCTCTTGCTCAATGATATCAAGAGGTAGAATCTGTTTAAAAGAGAATCTGTTAAGAATTTCAAAAGGATAAGAAATAATTTGCATCATCTGACTCAGCACATTGCTCTTCAAGTGATGTCTGTTAAGTTAAATCTATAACGAAATTACACATCATTACCCAATCTATGCCAAACTTACAGAGACGAGCTTTCACATATTCCCAGGTAAAACCTATATCACATGTGCAAATAATCTTAAGTTATAAATCACAGAACACATAGCAATCACAGAAGATCAAGTGTAGTATGAGATTCTTGTTCTTAAGTTTCACAAGTTCACTACTCAGTAAATGTCCTACTATCATAGCTGTTTTTTTAATATTGTAACTGATTTCAGTACAATATTCATTTCACTCAACGACTCAATTCACCTTTAGACTTCATTCCTCATAATTCAGATGGCCATTTCTAATATTTTTCTTAATCATCTTCATCTTACACTATTTAGTTTATTCTAAACCCTAGGTTTTATGTCTGAATGTGTGGATATAAGCATTATCCTAGTGTAAAAGTGCTAACTTCTATTTCCAGCTTTAGATAGTTATCATTGGTATTATTGTGGTAATAACTGTGTTCATATTTCCCTTATATATAGGTAAACCTTTCAACCATTCAATACATATGCTGTCTTTCGTACTATCAAATATGCATAACTACTTTTCTAGGTGTAATTTACTTAAATTCAGGATCACCTGATATCACATAAGTGCTTATTTTTATATATATATATCTGTATATCTGTATATATCAAGAGAACAAAATCATACTTCTAAAGAAATCCACAACAAACTTCAACTACATTATGATCAAAAAACAAAATTTCAGAAATCTAAAAACAGCAAAAATTTCAAAGCAGGGGCAAAACTTCCACTGGTATGTTGTGAATGAGTTTTCCCTCAGTTGTAAGTGGTGGAGCGTGTGAGCCATGGCAGGTTGTCAAGATCTGTGTTGCCACCACAGAGAATAACCCCCACCTTGCGAGGGGGGGGCTGCACCTCATCCATCATATGAATAGCAGCATAAACAGCCGCCCCTGAGGCAGCTTCCACCACCAACTGAGAGAAGAGAATAGAATCCGAGTCATCCTTTATGGTAGCATACAATCAAGGTTCTGAGACTATAATGGAGTGTGCTCTGTGGGTCATGTTTGGTATCCTAAATCATTTGGATTTTTAATTAAGCAAAGAGGTTTGAAAGAATGTCAATATTATTCAGTAACAGGGAAGAATACATAAAAATAACCAGAAAAGCATGAAAAAAACTATCTCACACACACACACACACACACACACACACACACACACACACACACACACACACACACACACACACACACACACACACACACACATAAAAACATAAACTATATATATATATAATTACCTTCATCCTCTCAAATGTGAGCTTCATCCCTTCCACCATCTGGTCGTCTGTGACAGTGAATACTTTTGAATCAGCGTAGTCACAGATGATTGGGAAAGTCAGCTCCCCAATCTGCGGCACAAAATGTTCATGAATTTCTGTATTCTTTCCCTGTTTTCTGTTATCTTTATCTTCAAGTAAAATGTCTAACATGCCATATATAAAAAGAGTAACTTCAAATGGAGGACCAAGAACATAATCTAAATATAATTCAAACTACATATCACATAAAGACATCTAAAAATGAATAAATTCACTGTTCAAAGCAACAATATTTTTTTTTTTTTTTTTTATAATATGAACAATATTAGTAATAACAAAAATAGTTACTATAATAATAACAACAATAATAATTACTATAATAATAACAACAATAATAATTACAATAAAAATAATAACAATAATAAATGAATTAACAGCAATCATAATAAGATAATAATCATAGTAAAAATAATAAAACAAATAAAATAATAATAATAATAACAATAATAAGAAGAACGGTAATAATAATAATAATAATGATGAGGATAACTTTTAAAATTTGAAAAGTCTGAAAGAGAAACATCTACCACAAGTGCGCTTACCGCCTGCAGCCTTATGGAATCAGCAATAGTGTTGAGGAACCTGGAGGGATTTGGCCATAACCTCTCCTTCG